CACACACCCAGCTGGGGAGCCACTCAGGGCTGGACAGGGGTCAGGAAAAGGGCGTTCATGCCAAGTGCCCTGGACCAAGAGGCTGGAGAAAACCTTCAGTTTCAGGCTGCCTAGGGCAAAGGTGGTGATCTTTGGCAGCACAAAGTGCCCTGGGTTTGTGGCTGTCCTTTGGCCTCCAGTTTCAGCGCCAGCCTGGGAGTGTCCAGAGAGATGGTGTGAGATGGTATCTGTCCCTCCCACCACAGTGCCCAAGTGGGAGGAGGCACGCTGACCCATGCAGCAACGCACACAACCCACAGGCCTCATCTCTGCCTCTCCCAGGCAAGCAAAGGAGCAGACTGCAGCAGCTCCCAGATGTGGCTGTTGCCTCGGAAGGAAGAGGAAGGGATCCAGGTGGGAGAGCCCACACGTGACACCAGTAACCCCCACCCCTAAATCAGCTACCTCCATCCTGATTGGTCAATGCCTGAGCCATGCTAGTTGGTAAATATTTTGAGCATCACCTCATTTCGTGGGACCAGTGGACTCATTTGTGAAAACTACCTGGAAACTCCTAGCAATTTTAGCTTTGCCTTTCTTTCACGGTGTGCAAAGGGCATTCATTCTCAGCAATGCAGAAGGCAACCTCCAGCTTGTCTCTCTTGAAGTTACGGCCTGGTCCTTGGAGGCTGGGGGAGGAGACAACCCGTTTCCAAGTGCTCCCGGGAGGCCAGGCTGTCAGAGCTGTACTAAAATGTAAGGTTTGCTCTTGACAAGGCTCAAAGATCCTCCTTCTCATGGGAAGCGTGGAGTCCCTGCAGCGGCCCCAACTCTCGTCCAGGCCTGCAAGGTCAGAGGCCCTCTTACTGGTCCCCCCAGATCTGAGCTCCTGCCGTGCTTGCTGGGACTGCCAGATGTCCCTCCTGACTCCAGGGAAAGGAAGTTCCGGGCTCCTCTCCCCTCTGACCCCAATGCCGTGGGTCCTGCCAGTTGCTATTGTATGTCTTCAGACTCTCCTCATCTTAAGATTCACTTTCTGCAGACTCCACCACCTCCTCAACCGTTTTATCCAGCTGTGCCTCTGGATACGGGTGTGGGACCCCACTGACAGGTCAGGCCAGGGCCACTGTGCATCACCATCCACGTGCAGCACCCTCATTTCCCCCTCCCCTTCTGCCAGGACCTGAGCTCTTTCTCCTTCCCAGCATCACCGAGCTTACTCCATCCACCTCCTCAACTCCCATTCCCTCTGCAAGTCTCAGTGATAACAGCAGCCAATGTTGACTGAGTTCTTCATCGTCTGCATCAATGATCTCAGTGAATCCGCACAGTAACCTACAAGGCAGGAATCATTACCCTCTTTTTCAGACGAGGAGACTGATCTTCCGAAGGTTCAAACTGCACATTGCAGAGCTGGACTGTGACCCACACTAAGTCTGGACCTGCCCCATCATGAGGTGAGAGCCGTCTCTTCACAGTTCTCACTCGGGAGGCTGGGCTGGGGCCACTGGAATCCTGAGAGAGGCCATCTCTTCCTGGTCCCCCTCCCCACTGAAAGTGCTCCCTTGACTTGAAGTCGCCCACTGTCCAGATGCTCCTCTCTCCCCTGCCCACAGGCTCAGTCCCCAACCCTCTCATCCCTTGGCCACAGTGCATGCCCCCACACCTCCAAGCATCTTCTCTGGGTGGACACTCATTTCCTCTCCTGCTCACTCAGTTTTCCAGCTGACTGGTGGACATCTGCCCCCAGAGATGCTTGGACAACCCCAACCGAACGCATTCCACATCCAAACTCTTGATTGCTGCCCTCCCAAACCCCCTCCTTCTCTCTCGAGAGCCCCATCCTTCCGCCTCCTCGTTACATGGGCTCCACCTGCCAACACCAGCTCTGCCATCCTTCTCTCCCTCAGCCTCCACAAGTCATCATCAGGTCCTTCCCACTTCCTGCTCCCAATACCACTATCCTGGTTCTCCTTCCCAAGTTCTGAGCACAGGGCCCTGGAGAGCACATGCTGAGACTGTAAGAATGAACCACCATTTGCCTCAAGTGTTCACTCATCTAACAGTTATTTATTGAACGCCATGGACCAGGCACTGTGCCCAGCAGCTGGGATGCAGCGCTGAACACGAGACAAGCCCCTGCCCTGGAGGGGCTTACATCCCGGCAGGGTAAACAACCAGTCTTCAGAAACCAAATACCCATCACGTGAGTGCCACGGGAAAGGTATGCTGAGCAAGGAAGCGCAGTGCCAGGGTCAGGGTGCCACTGTACGGGGTGATGGGGAGACCCTCCTCCCTGGAGAGGGCGGCATGATCCTAGTGGGCCGAGGTCAACTGCCAGGGTCAAATGGAACACAACTCACATTCTCAGGAAGACATCCCTAATACAAATCCAGGGACTTTGCTTCTTAACCTTTAAATTGGAAACACTTCTTGCTACCAGGGATGGGGGATGGGGCTCAGTGTTTGGGGAAACAGAGTGGGAGTCTTCTGCTGAACAGACTTAAGTTTTGAATTACATGAATGTATTTCCGTTTTTGAAAGGAAAAACTGAAATAGGAAAGAATTTTAAGTCTTTTGGAAAGAATTAATCATTTTCATGGAACTACTTCCCTACAGGGGGCCTGTTTTCATATCTGCCAACTTCTGCTGAAACACTGCAGATGGGAGAAGCCTCCAGTGCTCCCCAGAAGGGATACAGTCTTAACCCAGAGGACAGCATCCACCAGCCTGCAAGCACCGACCCTGTGCTGCAGTGTGAGTGCAGCACACACTGGGCTAACCATCACCACAGTGAGACTGGCACCCTTTTGCGGGAGGGTAGACTCAGGAAGGTGAAACTCAGGATGTCTGCCAGGAGCTGACAAATCCCTCTGGGACTCTCATACTTCAGAGGCTCTCCAGTTTGGCTATTGCTAAACTTGGACTAGCCCCTACTACCGATCTTAATATCCATGTACCAATCATTGCTGCATCCTATTTGGAAAGCAATGGACAGACAGCCAAGCTGAAAGCCCTTACTAAAGACTGGTCCACAAGATCAGATTTAGCTGCCCCTGGTTTGAGCCTTGCTCCCCTGGTGTCTTTTCTGGTGAAGCTGGGCCCAGAGAGGGTTTTACTAAGTGGGCTCCATGGTAGTGGAAGTGGTGGGGAGACAAGGCTGGCTCTATATGTGTCAGAGGCCTGAATAAACAGGGATTTGAGAAAGCTCAAGATATCCTGACTTAATCCTCAATGTGGCAAGCACAGGGCCATGGCCAGGCCTAGAGGAAGGTGGGCTGTTTGGAGTATGGCCCAGCAGGGTGTGATGTGATCAGGTAGCAGGTAGGGAAATGGGTCATCGTCCTCTAAATATTACATATATCACAAAGTTACTGACTGCAGTCTCCATGAATTCAGGCTGCCAGTCCGATGCACTGTATCCCAACAATCTGAGCACTCTGTCAAAGATGCTCACAGAGACAACAGGAGCAGGCAGACCTTTGTTTCCCTCTTAATCTTCAGAGCCTAGAACTGAGCTTGGCCCTCACCAGGCACTTAGAAATTGCATAATGAAAGAATTTCAGATTTTTATTAGTGGCAGTGAGCACTGAAAACCCAGTATTTGGCCAGGTCCAGTGGCTCACACCTGTAATCCCAGCACGTTTGGGAGTCCAAGGTAGGAGGATGGCTTGAGGTAAGGAGTTAGAGACCAACCTGTGCAACATAGTGAGACCTTATTCTACTAAAAAAATAAAATTAGCCAGGAGTGATGGTTGCGTGCCTGTGGTTCGAGCTACTTGGGAGGCTGAGGTGAGAGGATCACTTGACCCCAGGGCTTCGAGGCTGCAGCGAGCCATGATCACGCCACTGCACTCCAGCCTGAGCCACAGTGTGAGATCCCCACCTCACAAAAAAAGGAAAGCC